ATTATCTCTAACCGACCTCCCACTCTCAGGAAGTAAAAGACAACTTGGATATCTATTTTTTTCTAAAGAACCGAGCTTTCCAATTTATATATTGACTGTTAATAAAGAGAAGTGTACCATCACCTGTCTGATGTCCAGGCCTATCTACTACTGTACACTGAACAAGCGGACAATAAGTCACCGATTGTATCACCCTGAGACAATCGAGTTTTAGTAATCGCTATCACATCAGAAAACTTTAACTTACCGACATTTCCCCCTATTTGTTCCTTATGCTACAACTGCTGGTGTACCGCACACTTAATCCCTCCACATTCCCTCTTTCTATCGCATTTATTTTACAGTTACCCTCGAGCGAAGGACCCGAGGTGATAATCCGTATTTTGAACATTCAGGGTTGATCACTCCAATAACCGGTTTCTCAGGAGTACTGACTAGTTCCTGCAGACGCCCACAGAATTAGTACGGTGTTTAAATCTCGATCCATTTTTTCTATTAGTGCTTGAGTAGACTCAATTACCTTGCTCCTTCTCCCCCCATTTTGTTCACCCCTACACACCATTGTAGGACCGTTCTTTGTACCGCCCAACATACTGTTACTCTGGTCCGCAGAAGTGTAGTCCACCCCCGCAGATAGCGACGCCACCTCTGTTGAAACTGCAGCTTTGGATGGCTTGGACTGCCTGCATTCCGCCAAAGCGGACACTACGCTTATTTCTTTTTTCCCACCGTCAACGGCGGAAATAAACCAGGTGATAGCACCACATGTTTAACAGTCATATGCGGACCGTGATCCTTCTTCGCAATCATAGATTTAATAGCCAAATTACCATTAGCACCTCCAATTAGCTTACTTGTTGGCGTTTAAGCTTCGAATTAAGTATGTGTAGTACTACTTGATACCCGTCATTGGTATGATTCACCACCTGTCTAGGTCTGGGCGCCCTGGCAGTATCTCAGTCCACACACAACCATGACATCTTCTTCAAGCATAAACTTCATCCTGCATCGGCCGTCGCGCAGATTATCAAGGGTCGCCTTACCTACTGCATACAGCAGGGCGTATAAGCGAAAACATGCTACTGTTGGCGCCTCCCTTCTTTCTTCTCCACCTTCTTCTCTTACTCCCATCCCGACCCCCAATACTAACTCCTTCTATAATTCCCAGCTTAATTGACAGCAACCGAAGTGCCACTGGAGTAGAACCATCTGCAGCCACCAACCCACAGCACCTATCAGACGTCTATCGGCAAAAGTCCCTTATAAGGCCACGCTATCCCGTTTCCATGGCGACATTCAACGTTCGCACTCTAAGACAAACAGGTAAACATGCTACACTCGCACGCACCTTGGACACACTGGGTGTTGATGTGTGTCCGAAACGGATCAATGACCTTAATGGGGTTGCTGAATTAACTGCACCCAGCTTATCCTCTCGTTATTGGTTGCACACATCTGGAGACCTCGATGCAGCACTCACGGATCAAGCTGATGTAGGTATCATTCTAAGCTCCAAAGCTGAGCCATCGTTGGTTGATTGGATTCCGGTGAACAGCCGTTTATGTGCAGCCCGTTTGACGACATCAGCTAAGATGAATTCACGAACTAATACAAAACCATGTTTGTTTGTGATTTCCGTTTATGCTTCCGCCGACTGCAGTTCTAATGCTGCCAAGTACACATTCTATGACCAACTGAACGCGCTACTACGAAGTGCTATTAGTTCAGATATTATAGTACTTGCAGGGGATATGAACGCACAAGTAGGGCGTCTGAGCTCTTCAGAACCTCAGTAGGGTGGTAATTGTGGGTTTAACTCTGAACGGACTGACAACGGCGAGCGTCTGCTGCGACTGTGTGCAGAGCACCAGTTGTTTCTTAGTAGCACTGCTTTTAGACAGAGTGGGCGCCGAAGTGCCACTTGACGTCCTCTTGTAGCTGGCCAGCAGTGGACCCAAATTGACCACATAGCCATTAGTTAGAGGTAGCGTGGTTCCATCCTAGATTGCCGCTCGTATTGGAGTACCTGTGTCGACTCTGATCATGCCTTGGTACGCTGTCGTTTCTCCATGAACTTTGCCGGGAGGCGCACCAAGCATCTCCTCCGATTGGCAACGGAGAAATTGTCCCAGCCCTCTGTCAGGCAGGCCTATCAAGAAGCACTGCGTACCGAACTTTCGCTGTCTTGTTCTAATTGCACTGAGCTTCAGTGGAATAAGATCTCGGCCGCCATGCACGATACGGGAGCATCTGCTTGTGGCACTATCAATCGTCACCCGCACCAGTCACTGGATATCCGAGAGGTCGGTGAACCTGTTGGAATCTAGAAGAAACCTCGCGGCTGAATCTGAAGACAATGTGACCAGATGGGCTATGAGGCGTGAACTAAAGCAGAGCCTACGTGCTGGCAAGGAAGCGTGGTGGACCAGTAGGGCTCAACAAATGGAGGAGGCAGGTGCAGTAGACAATTACCGGAAGCTCTTCCAGCTAATCCGCACCACTTGTCCCAGAAAACCACGCGTCAGTGAGACAAGCAGAGACAGCGCGGGTGCGCTGATACACAATAAGGAGCGCCGTATGGTTAGTTGGGCGGAACACTTTCAAGCTTAGTTCAGCTGGCGCCCTGCTCCCGGACCTCTTCCTACTCAGGTGATGCAGGGCGAGCCATGGGCGGTTAGTTTAGAGCCTCCGTCGGAGGCCGAGGTTCGAAACGCGATCACCGCCCTCAATCGTTTTCGTGCCGCTGACCCGGATTCCCTCCCACCTGCACTCTTTAAGGATGGAGGTGAGGTCCTCTGCAAAGCACTGATCTCCCTATTCGAACATATCTGGAAGGAAGTGAGTGTCCCGGCTACTTGGAGCGAATCGATTATAGTGGCAATATACAAGAAGGGCAGTCGCACAGATTGTTCTAACCGTATGGGTATTAGCCTAATGCCAGTTGTAACAAAGTTACTGGCCTCGATTCTCGTTCATCGGCTCACTGCGAAACGGGAATCTCGGATTAGGGAAGAGCAGGCCGGTTTCTGCCCAAGACGTGGCTGTATATACCAGATATACACTTTGCAGCAGGTGCTAGAGCAGCGCCACGCATACCGCAGACCGAAATAGCTGTGTTCCTCGATTTCAAGAGTGCGTTCGATTCAGTCGATCGATGCATTCTGTTCGAAATACTTGCGCGGAAAGGTGTTCTCACGAAATATATGAACATCCTTCGTGCTCTATACTGGAACACTAGAGGCCGCGTCAGGGTCTGCGCTGGCCTGTCGGATAGCTTTCTTACCACAAGTGGCATACGTCAGGGTTGTCTGATTTCCCCATTTTTGTTCAATTTCGTCGTGGATCCTATCATGGAGTGTTCCTTTGTGGTATCTCACGATGTAGGTGTTGAAGTGCTTCCTGGTGAACGATTAGTTGATCTTGATTATGCGGACCATATCGTCTTGCTTTTCGACAATGTTGCGGTGGGACAATCAATCCTGAATAGCCTGTCTAGAGTGGTCCCATTATTTGGTTTGCACTTCTCACCTTCATAGTGCAAAGTGTCGCTGCAGGACCTCCAGCCACTTTATGACCCCTTGACCCATGCTAACGAGGAACTCGAGGTGGTTGATCAATTCACTCATCTTGGCAGCTGCATCAGCAACCATGGGCGCTTGGAAACTGACGTCAGCTCACTCATTGCAAAGGCCAGAGCTGCCTTTTTAAACCAGCGGCATCTTTGGCGACAGAAAGGAGTTTCCCTCTGCCTGAAAGGCCGGGTATACAAGGCCACAGTGAGGGCCGTTCTTCTCTATGGTAGTGAGACTTTGCCTCTTCGATCTGAAGATCTGAGGCGCCTTCAAGTCTCTGATCATCGTTGTCTGCGAAGCATTGCTGGTGTCGGATGGCACCAGCGTGTCCGCAGCGATGATGTGCGTAGGCGAGTACTAGGTAGTGATAATCATGCTAGCTCCCTAGAACAACAGATAGCACTGAATAAGTTGCGTTGGCTCGGGCACGTACTACATATGCCTGGTCGCTGCTTACGTAAGAGCGCCTTGTTCAGTCTACCAAGTGTAGGATGGCGCAAGGTTCGAGGTGGACAGAAGTTGACTTGGCAGCGGGAAATGAAGTCACTGACGACCAAACTGGGTGCCGTTGGTCCGTCTCGCCTTCCAGGCTGGAGTCCACGTGACTCGCCTTGTGTTTTGCTCTAGACTTTACAGGGCATGGCTCGCAACTGACACTAGTGGCGCGTCTGTTGCCGTCTCCTAGTCGGATTGACTGTTTAAAGTGTGTTTGGTGCTGAGTTATCTGCGGGGTAATGGCTGATTATGACGCGTGGCAGTGAAACCCGCAAGGAAGCCGATAGCCTGCTGTTTGTGACGGTATGTTGTCTACACAAGGGGTAGGCGCCTTGACCCTGAATGTTTGCTTAGGGCATTAAGGTTTTCCGGGAAGTCCCCCTTCTCTCCCTCTTCTTATTCTTTATTTCATAGGTCCTCATGGTTGTATGGCAGCGAAGAATCATTTCCAATGGCTGACGTACTGCTGTTGATGATAATGATGATGTTTAGTAGTACTGGCGAGATCAGGGAACCGGTACCTTACTTCCTACGCTTTAGCTTAATGAGCTCTCAAGTAGGGATCCGATTGCACGCAGAATTCTATCAGGCATCTGCGAATATACATTCTCACTGGATGGAAGCAAAGAACCGCGGCTTTATGTGTTGTGGTGCCGGGAATGTGCCCATTCTTTTAACATCGGGTTGCAACATTATGTGGGAGCGGGTTACATCCACTATACCGCACTCTGAGTAATAGATCATTTTTGTGGGGGAAAACTTGCCTGTCAAGTACTTCGCGTATCTCGGCACACTGCTACGGAGTCATTCGTTTGACCGTACCTCAGGCATTCTTGGAGTACCGAATTCGGTGGTAGTTGATTTTACTTGATTCGCCGCGCGCGGTGAATCTTCTGTTAATATCGGTTTTTCCCTTACGTGTTCTTATCATTTATGCCCCTTTTCCTTATTTATTTTCTTATTTTTGGTATACTTTTCCAGGTTTTCTCTCGTTTCCCACTGGCTTACAATGCCATTTCTCTTCATCTGGTCGAGGTCAGTCCTACCATGCGTTCACTGCAAGAGAACGCGCTGTCGAAACTTACTTCACGATTTAATTTGCCCCTCCCTTCGATCAAATGGTACAGCGATCTTCGGGATATCCCTAGACAGGTGCCAACTTTTTTGCTTGCGAATGAGTTCCTCGACGCACTTCCGGTTCACCAATTTCAAGTACCGTTTACCTATCTCGTGAGTGTTACCCCCTGTGGTTTTAGAAATCCGAAGGGGAGTGGCGTGAGGTTCTTGTTGATGTAAATAAGACAGAAAAGGAAGCCCCCGGTCTACGTTTTGTCCTGGCTCCAAGTCAGACGTCCTCAATAATTGCTTATCTTCCAGTAAGTGCACTACGGGTCTTCTTTCAAATCACCTTCGACCTTCCCATTAATCTTTTCTGGGTTAATCGCCAAATACACCGCTTTATAATCCGAAGGAAACCTGTTGTCATCGCCCCTTGTCATCATAGGGAATATTCCAAACTGTCTGATGTCGGAAGAGCTTCATAATTTTAGACCTGTTGCCTGTCCGTTGCACATTTCAGTCATTCCGCGCCTGAGCCCTTGATATCAATCATCTTTTGAAGTACATTTCGCCCCTTAAAAGCGTCTACCTGTTTCTTAGTCTCTGTTCATGTCATGTTTAAGATTGCCGAGCCCAATTCCTTTGTGTATACCGCAGCGTAGCGATGCCATCGAATGACGTCTCCGCTGATCGTTGGCTATCTCTCACTGGTTAGACCAACCACACCAGTTTCACAATCTCGCTTGGTCTAGACAACGCATCTAACTTGGCTTGTAATCGAGTTTCAAACTGATCTACGCCATTTGACGCCATTTCTAACTCAGTTTACTATCACCATGTTTCGTTTCCTGCGTCGTTGTGAGTCCTCGGATCAGTATGAAACCAGTTTGTGTGAATTGATGTTTACACGCTGACGTGCTGCTTACGCACTCAAGCATTCGTGAGCCTTACAGTCCTAAACTGGTGGAGGTTACGCTACATGGGTCCGATTCATAACCCGAATGTCGTCAGATCGATCGCAATCCCACTGAAATTTTCCCTCTCTTTCAGCTCGCTGGCGACGTCACTCACCGTGAATTCATCGAAATTTGCCCTCAAGCACTGGTGCTTCTCGACGATATTTGTCAACGGGTTGCGGAGGATGGAGGTGCAGCTTTACTAATCGACTACGGTCACTTTGGTAACAAGGGCAACACGTTGCGTGTAAGCACTTCCATCTCATGTCTACATCAGGATTTTACCAGGCTTTCCGCAGGCACGAAGTGTGTGACCCCCTACTTGAACCTGGGAATGTTGATTTGACATGCGATGTCGACTTTTCCCTTCTGCATCATCGAGCGTGCTCAATCAAACATGCCGGTAGGTCCCTACCTGTTTGCTGCGCATCACACTTGGGGTATTCTTGTTGTTGTTGGCACAAGTGCATTGTATGTGTTGTGTTTTCATTTTCGTAACCCCAACACACATGCTCACATCCAATCTTGGTGTGTTTGTGTACGCTGATGGTTAGTCCACTGGAAGGCTAACGGTTGCTGTGATTACTGTGTGTTTAGTCGATTGACTGTTTCCGATATTGAGCTTTTGTTGACCTTTCACAAAGCCACCTGGTACTTATCGGCCTCTGAGACATAATAATACGTTATAATCACCGTCTTCATTTTTATTTCGTTGTGATTGCTCCATCTGGTTGAGTTATAGTGCATTCGTCTCATTTGCTGTCCCAAAATTATCTGTTTTTGTCAAGCATTAGGCATAACCCTGTCGACCTGCGCACATCGATTCCTGCGGTCGGCCTCACCTAATTCGTGCCTAAGGATCCTTCGGATGATAGCATTCAAGTGTCATTGTTCTTTCATTCGTCTAACGTCGGTATTTCATTGCTTTATGGTTCTACGCACTTATGCAACTCATCAACTTGTGTTGCCATCCTGAAAATATCACTATGTGGTGATGGTCGCATGGCGTCGATGCCGACATACCGGCGTACTTCTGACGCCTTTTTCTTTTCTATGCCATCCTTGCCTAGATAACTACATAGTGACTTTCTACTGCATTCTAAACTCTCTGCATCATCTATCTGTGGTCATTCGGCACAGACCGCTTGTTCGGCTGTGATCCCAGCACCGAGTTGACGTAGGGCCACTTGCCATACTTTTCGCCATCTTAGACAATAAAACGAAAATAATGACGATCGTTAAAAGTGGAAACAAAGGAACAAAAATCTGCCAAGAACTTGGCGAAAAAAACGAGTAGAATCGTCGAACACAGTTTCTGCAACTAAAGTAAGAAGCCTAATGCAAGGTTGTCACGGAATTCTCGCTTGCGTCATATCGGTGTAGTCTAACTGCTCACAGGGCCAACCCCGCGACACCCACTCGGGAGCGCCTAGCTCAGTTACAATATTCGGTCTTTCGCGATCAGCTTCACTTCTTTTGCCGTATCACCTGCTAGTCATGCTTTACCCAGCCAGGCACAGTATCGATTCTCAAGCTTAGGTAGACTGTTGGAAGGCATGCAGAAGGTGTGACATGCTTAGCGTAAGCGAATCTCACCATTGGTCATGTAAGTACCAACACCATCGGTGTGACCACTCCAACACAGGCACTGCTTGTAAAACATAAGCGGCCTTTTATTAGTTCCCCAGTCACAGTGAGCATGCGCTCTCCGTGTAATATCACGGATCTCCTTACAGTGCTGTACGGTCTGCTGCGCGGTGATGGACCAATACCCCACGTCCACACAAATATTTGCATTTTTTAAATGTCCTCCTGGTGTTCCATGTGCGCGCGCGTGCCTCAGCTTGACATAACCGAGTGCACAAATGAACCAGTCCCCTCGAACAACAGCGGTATCCCCTAATTTGATTGATAGACGCGCCTACTGAACTCCACACAACGCTCTGTTTAAGTCTGTCCGACTGCACTGACTCGACACTTTGACCCATTTATTCCTGTCTGCTACAAGCAACAGGGTTGTTGTTGTTGTTGCTGCTGTTGTTTAAAGCAGTTAGTTCCCTTTAGAAATTTTAAAAGTACGGTAAGAAAACGAGAGCTGGTAGCTGCATGCATTTCGCGTTGTTGTTGTTGTTGTTGTTGTTGTTGTTGTTGTTGTTGTTGTTGTTGTTGTTGTTGTTGTTGTTTTGTACTGGTTCCTTGTGACATGATTCAGCCAGACAACTGTCATACGTCCGAACAACCTCGGAATGGCTGTTTCTTTTCTTACTGGAGATCATCAACTCCTACGGAATTTGTGCTCATAACTTTCCTCTCCCGAATCAGCCACTTTACTCGCAGGCCCAATTCTGGCGATATCGAATCTGTGTAGCTGCTTCAATACTGCACGGCTCCGCTGCTACGCACGTCACTGCCCCGAAGGCCGCGATTTTCTTCGCCAACCTATCATTCTTCTGATGGCGGCATTTCCTGTTACAATGGATCACTGATTTTTACAGTGGTGGGGATGTTTTTTGATATTCGAAGTGATTTAGAATATTAGTACCTCGGGAGGCTTTTTCAGTTGTTGTGGTGTTCCCCGAGCTGGGCAACTTGGTTGCAAACATTTCGCCACCATTAGAGGTGGCATCTTCACTGCAGGATTGATAGCAGTCAGGTAGCAGGAGCTGGTAGAAGGTAAACCGAATGATGGAATTTCATCTTAATTGGTTTTGCTTTCTATCAGATCCTGCTACCTGACTGCTATCAATTCCTCACTGAAGATGCCACCTATAATGGTGGCGAAACGTTTGCAATCAAGTTGCCCCGCCCGGAAAACACCACAACAACTGAATGTTTTTTGGTATTTTTTAGAAGACTCGTTGCAGCCACCAGCTGTCTGCACTTCTTATGACACTGCGCTGTATAATATTCAGCGTCGTTTAGCAGCGTACTAGACAACTCGTATGGAGATGGGCAAAACGATCACCGCTCCCCACTTGTATGTATGTTGGTTTCATCAGCCTCATTCTCCTTTACTCTATTCGGGTACACTAGTTTTTTAGTATTGAGGTGTTCATCCATAGTGCCTGAGATAACTAGTGTGTGTGTGTCTGTTTTTTCACTTTTAGTGGGTGTGCATGGACCAGAAAGCCAGGCCTACTTCCTCATTAATATGGGCTTACTGACAAGATTACAGGTGAGGTTTGCTTACTAGCTTATTCTACTCAAGTACTGTGTGAAATATACAATTTGTGCAACATGTTCGTAATAAAATGGACTCACTAGATAGTACAATGGGAGCGCTGGCATTTGAGGACTTGGTAAAAAACGTTTTACCCCATGTATTCATGTTTTTGAAAAATTCACCCAGTTATTACTTCAGTAGCACGTTTAACTTTGCTTCTTGTTTTTCATATGGTTTCCACACAATACTTTCGAGAAAATCTTGCTTGCAGAAATCCAGCAAGCGTGTCAAATTCCAAAAATACCAGAGGTGGAAACGGTAACACAAAAGCACTGCTGCTCATTGGATGAAATGCGTGGATGACGGAAGCACTTTTCACCGAGGTGCTCTTCGAATGGGAGAAGGAGCTAGGTTTAAGTGTCCGAAAATTATGTTCCTCTTGGATAATTGCAAAGCGTATCCACAGATAGAAGGCCTGAACAACATACAAATGAAATTTTTCCGGTTGACCCATATCCCAAGATGTTATTATGGATTTGAAATCCATTACAGAAAGGAAATTGTGGACCAAATTCTTTGTCACATCGAAAACAACGTGTTATCTGGCCCATCGTCGGCGGTGGATGTCAGCGCCAAGATTACTGTGCTCGGTGCAATTCAGTTCGTTTCAAACCGTTGGAGACAGGTTACCGCTGCAACAATACAAGCTTACTTTCGACATGCAGGCTTTAGTCGACTGGCATCCGATGTACTTTCTGATGACGTCATTGCTGAGGACGAGATCAGCGCTTGCACAACCATCATTGCGGAAGAGTTCGCCGCCATAGACAACGGTGTGGAATGAACCTCAAATCTGACGATTGTTGAAGATGAAATCGTCAGTAAAATTTTAGAGAACCAAATAGAACAACAATAAGGCAGCGACTCATAGCATGACTTGCCGGATTCCTCTGTGAGTAACAGCAATCTGTGCGTGCCGCATTTAAGAGCAAAAAGCTGTGTGAATACTCTGTATAGCTATGGACATTTGCATGGGTTAGGCAACGATTTCTTGTCCAACTTGAACTTCATCAATGTAAAAGTGACCGGAGCAGCAGCTCAGAATAATGTATAACTGACGGATTGTGTTACCTGCAAAAATATACAGTGCCTGTTTCTATAGCTAAGTTACACTTTTTAAATTATAGGTCATGCTCTTCCGAATAAACGGCTTTTGTAAGCTTTAGTTACAGGTACCTATCTAATCCTTCTTAACACGTTACAATTCAAGTGATATACTGTACTATAATTCAATGGTTGTTTCTCTTTTAGAAAAATTGGCAATTTCGGCTAATTTCCCGACCCACTTTATTGCCCACTTTTGAAATACCCTGATGGTGAGCAATAAAGCGGGTTCCATTGTATTACAGGAAGTCGAATATTCACAGGTAGCCTTTACTGTGCCACCGTCTCTCTCGGGCACGCAGCTTGCGGTTGCTCTTTGCTTTCCGAGGTACACACTTGCGCGATCTGCTCTCACACTGTGTCTTTGGCTGCTTGCACATTTCGAAAGCCTGACGGCCCCATTTACTGGGGCTGACTCATAGGACATGCGTGTATATCACGTTAGTTACCGTTTCCGGGTGTGTTTCTTTACCACAACAACCTTGCTTCATTTTACCCGCGCACATCAACCGGCAATGGTGTGGCAGCGAATCCATTCATCCTGTGCACCTTGTGTAATCGACAACTTCACTTAGGGCTCGAAGGATGCTTAAAAATTCCCGATCTAACCAAGAAAGGAAACCGAGACATTTACTACGGCACTATTCATATAGGAACCAAAATTCAGTATGTACATACCTCGACAATCCCCTTTCGATTTCGAAACAACCAGTCTTCACAAGATCCAAAAGGAATGCACACGGTGCTTGCCACCTTACTTAGTCACACAGTACAGAGTCCACGATCGGACTACAACCTTACTTTTATTAGGTCCGCTAACCCTTGGATCATTGTCCGTTATGCAGCGTATGAGATGGAACGCGATATGCTAAGCTCTTGGTGTGGCTTAGCTCAGTCAAACAGAGGGATGTGGGAAGAAGATTTGAGGTGCGTGCCCCTTTGGCAGGAGGATGGTTCAAGCCTGAGGTGTGTGGGTGTGGTCTGGACGGGTTGCACAGTATGAGTGAACGGTTTCCACAGTGAGAGGTGTAAGCGACAGATTCGCTGCGGGCTCGAGTAACTCGTAAATCTCCCGGATCCAGCCAACAAAGGAAGCCGTGACGTTAATTACGGTACTATTAAACAAATACATGTTTACACACCACAACAGTGTCCGTTCAGTCCTGGAACAACCGGATCTTCGTAAAGTTACACAATGAAATAGCGTCAGCGCACTTGCTACCGTACAGCAAGGCCACACAGCACAGATTCAAAGAGAGGAATACGAGGGTTCTTTTTAAGGTGTCCGAAATCTTATCCCATTGGTCCGCGGCACGGCGCACAGGAAGATACAAGGTGTCATTACATTCAAATGGAATGAGATTAACGCGTCTCGGTGCGGATATGGGATCAAAGACCAACAAGGGCCTGGGTGCCCTTGGGGTTAGTAGCACGGGGTGAGAGTGCACGATCGTCACAGCGGGTTTGGGATGAGAGCAAGTCCACGTCCAGTGGGAATTTACAAGGAGAAGACAACTCCAAAAAGGGCCCGTGTTCCTATGCGACTACTAGCACGGGGTGGGAGTGCACAATCCTCACAGCAGGTATGGGGTGGGAGCAAATCTATGCCGAGTGGTGGGACGTGAACATGTTACACAGTATGGGCGCGATCGTATCTTGCAGCGGGGTTGGAATGAAGCCATGTAGACATGGTTGGGAAAACAATGAATCGCACAATAGCCCTTAGGAGCAGGTGTCAGATTAAGTTATCGGGAACAAGTCTCCATACTATGGTATGAGTTGCAAGGGAAACATGGAGCTTTGCATAGTTAATCGCATGGGTAGACAAATAATGGGTTATCCGGGATCTCGGCAGAAGGCGCAGATGGTGTGGTTATCTGACTATGATCTTGACATGCAGCTGCGGTTTTCGTGGTAATTCTTTCGCCTACAAGAGGTGTAGTGAACCCACGGCAACGTTGATATGAGATCACATGGAGGATAATCGGTAAGCCGGCGTTCATCAGATGGTGCAGCTGTCTGCCTTGGTCATCCAGAGTGAGATCCCGACATGCGTCTTGCTAATTGCACAATAGTTACGTCGGTTGGCATGCCACCATGCGGGGCATAGAGTGAGCGAACCAAAGGTGGTAGGAATCAAGAGTTAAATCGTGCTATTTATCTTACGAATTACACAACACTTATGTCGGTAGGGCATGTAACCATAATACATAGAGTAGGTAAACAAATAGTTGGTGGGAATCCAGAGTTAAACCGCGTCATCCATCTTGCGAATTGCGTGGTACCTTTTCCGCTAACCTTGAATCACCAATAAGTTTCTCAGCAAACCAGTTTAGTTCCCTTGTTCTTTCTTCACTCTTGTCGGCCGGTGGCTTAGTGGTCTCCACGCCTGACTAGCAATCATAAAGTCACCGGTTCGAATCCGTCTAATGGCGCGCGTCCTCCCCGTATACTCAGTCCATGCGTGACTGGTGGTGGTCGCGCGGCAGCGAAGCTCCGTTACGGCGTTATCTTTTTAATTGCAGTCACTAAGTTGAGGTTCTCAGGTGAGCGACTTATTGACTCGAAGTATGCTGACGACATTTTCCTCACCTGTGATAGCTCAAAAACGTGCCAAGCAGCACTAAGCAGATTAGCACTGGTCGTCAGTCACTTCGGGCTTTGCTTTGCACCATCAGAGTGCAAGATTAGAAATTACCGCCCCTCGCGCTGACCCTTGGTGCAGATCAGCTAGAAGTCGTTCATAAGTTCAGCTACCTAGGTAGTTGTATCAGTACCGTTGGAATTGAAGACGAGGTCACAAATCGTATGGCAAATGCTCGAGGTGCTTTTGCTAACCTTTGCCACGTTTGGCGCCGGCGCGACATCACTCTCTCCCTGAAGAGTAGAGTGTACATTGCAGCCGTACCTTCGACCCTACCATGTACGGTTGTGCAACCTGGGCCACTAGATCGGCAGACGTAAAGAAGCTAGTTAAGTTCGATCACCGGTGCCTTTGTAGTTTGGCTCATGTCTGGTGGAGCGCCGCGTGAGCGTTAAGCGTGTTCGACGTCTTGTTTATAACACAAGAAGAGGAAATGAGTCGTTCAGCACCGTTATTTCACGAACCATACTCCGATGGCTGGTTTTGCACTGTTCTCCGAGTTGAATGATTATTTTGCAGACCTTTCGCTGCGTGACTGCCGAGATGCGGCTATTCTCTACTATTTCCGATGTGTTGCACACCGACTGCCGCGACGTGCGTTTGCGCGATGGTCACATGGCCTCTGATAGGGCAACAGCAAGTCTAACCATGTCGTTAACCTCCGCCCGAACATTAGTTCACCGGGGCTCTTACCATTCGTTTCGTTCTGTTTAGAGCCATAACCTAACAACAATTTGTTTAACCTTATTCTCAATGGAACCGGCATTTGTTTTCGGGCCAGTTCTTAACCGTTAGACTGCCCTTTCATCAAGCCGCTAGAAGCTGAGTGGTAAGGAGCCGACTTCACGTGACGTACGCCGTTATTTTTCGGAAACTCTTGCCATTCCTGACTAATAAACACCGAGCCATTGTCTGTCACCAACATGTGCGGTATAACGAAGGTTGTAAAGCACCTTCGCGTGCATGAACTCCTAGTCTCTGAGGTGTCTCGTGTTAGCGGGAAAACTGCTATCCATTTCGTATAAGCGTCGATCACGAGAAGAAACAGCTTCCCGTCGAGTGGGCCAAAGAGGTCAGCATGTACGCGCTCCCATGGCTTACTGGGCCGTTTCCATCGGCTGAGTGGTACAGGAGGGGCGCTTCTTTGTGTGCTTTGACAAGTGTCGCAATGTCATTTTAACTCTTCAGTGTCTCTGTCAATATT